CCATCCACATACATTCTCTACCGCCCATCCACATACATTCTCTACCGCCCATCCACATACATTCTCTACCGCCCATCCACATACATTCTCTACCGTCCATTCACGTACATTCTCTACCGCCCATCCACATACATTCTCCACCGTCCATTCACATACATTCTCCACCGCCCATCCACATATATTCTCTACCGTCCATTCACATACATTCTCTACCGCCCATCCACATACATTCTCCACCGTCCATTCACATACATTCTCCACCGCCCATCCACATATATTCTCTACCGTCCATTCACATACATTCTCTACCGCCCATCCACATACATTCTCCACCGTCCATTCACATACATTCTCCACCGTCCATTCACATACATTCTCTACCGTCCATTCACATACATTATCTACCGTCCATCCACTTACATTCTTTAGCGACCAGTCACAAACAGGATCCATGGTAACAAGTGTGACGGCATTTTTGTGCTGACGTCATTTTATATAGTTTCTTTTTCATCTTCGAATAGTTTAATTTTTTAATTTAATTTAATTTTTAATGCTATTTTGTGGTAAATTTTTCATTTTGTACGGGTTGTAATGATAAAAAAGTAAAAACAAGCAATTTTGATAAGAATATCCGTTACCTTTGGATCCGCCATCTGTGGATTTTTTTAAATCTCACAAAAAGAACTAAAAATTAAGGGAAATAGGTAGAATTGTATGAAATATTTATCAAACTAACATTTCATGAATAAAAAAGTGAGTTTTTAAGTGTTACTGTTGATTTTAATGAAAGTTTCTCACATTTAAAAAAATGACCAAAAACTACCTGCTATGGTATTGTCTAATGGAAAAAACCTCAATAAGTAGAAAATGCACAATAAAACAAGAATAAGCCTAAAAATGAAACATTCAGCATATTTTACTTTAAAAAGTATAAAGTTGCCATGGTGACGTCACATTTAGTTCCCTAAAGTCAGAAGTTAATATGGCAGTTAAGTTTACGTGGGCGATCAGTGTTTGAAATGGTCAGAGATTCATTGGCTCAAAGATACAAATGGGATGATAAGTATATATAGGGGATATATATAGGGGAGCAAGAATGGCCGAGCGGTTAAAACGTCGGTCTATCACCGCTGGTGTCCTGGTTCAATTCCCGGTCCGGGACTATATGTGATTTGAGTTTGTAGACTGGTTCTCTTCCTTGCTCCGGGGATTTTTCTCCAGTTCCGCTGGTTTTCCTCCCTCCGTCAAAAACTTGCTGTGAGGAGTGTCGTGTAGTAAAATAATGAATATTGAGGTAGTGAGTGTGAGTGAATGTATAGAGGGCCACAAGTTTATTAGTCTAGAGACTATTACGTGCTACCCTCTCAAAAGAAAACAGTTTATTTATTCATTTATTATTTTTAAAAGTGATCCCTCCAGATACTGATTGGAAAAGAAGCCCAGTCTGAATAGGGTCACTATTGAAAAGTCAGCACCGCTAAGCTTATTTCAGAGGGGTAGAAGATGGTTATAATTATAAACAGTCATCTTTACGGCTCTTCTTTTTCGCTTCTTGCTAGTTATCTGAACGCATTTTTAGACAAACAAACAATAAAACAGAAGTGTACATATTCNACTTCTTTGATTTTGTTTCACGGTGCAAGTGTGATGACTCTAATATCACAGTTACGTTCTCTGACTGATATAAATTTTTCAAATATTGAATTAACACAAAACTGCATAGTTTTGACTACATTTTAAGCATATAATAAGAAAGCAATAATTTGAAAAATTCAAGTTTGATTTTTGTTGCTTGTGCCCACAGAAGTAGTCTCCTTTGCATCCGTTCATCGTCGGGACAGGAATCCCGAAACGCAAACCGATGCGAAGCAACGCCAACTCTTCAAAGGCGAAAATACATAATTGGATTTTCGAATTTTCTCACGAAAAATACCCAGAAAGGTCACATATATATTTTATTTCTTAAATCCGGTGCTAGGTTTTTAGGATTGTTTTTAATGTCGCCGCATTTCTTGAAAAAGCCTTGAAATCTGGCCTTTTTTCGTCAAATTTGGCACTTCATACGGACTGTCAGGTCAAGCTTGAGTGATCACGGATTATTTGTCCCCCATAAGTTTCATATGTAGAAATGTAGACCAATCCTGGGAAAATAATCTATAATATATAGAGGTGTTATATTAAATTATGGAATGCGATGCCATTTWTCACGTGACTGCTCTATGCTGAAACCCTAGTAATCGCTTCCATATATGGTTATGCATGTACAAGGCCATCATGTACACACAGAAGGCTCTCATACCCCATCAGTTTTGCGAAAAAAAAATCAGACCTAACACCGTAAACTGATCATGAAACGATCTTTTTTAAAGACGAGCATGAGATTTGAGCCACCGCTTGCATTTGATAACTCAATACTATCTAAAATCAACAGGAAATTATTTATGCTAAGTTGCTAATGCTAATGCTAGGATGTGTGATCCCATTTGGCAAGTGAAAAGCAAAGAGTAGATATTGTCGTACAACAGACTACTGCGAAAGAAAAAATGTAAAAAGAAAAAATGTAGTTCATTTTACGTGCATTAAATAAAAGTTCATTAAAATATTTCTCAAATCAAATGTTAAAATCAAAATTAAAATAAAAATTGTAGTTGGCTAACATGACGTTACATGTAATTGTATATAGTTTGCTTCAAAGCGCAGTTCTTAGATATACTGTAATATCATCGTAGAGGTCATGGGTTCGATTCACGTTAAATCTCAATATTTATTTCGGTCGACCGACACTTAGATTGATATAACTTCATTGCGACAATCATTTTTATTTTTATTGACTATTTGGGACTGCACAATGKRATGTATTGAGAAATRAGTGCGAGAGAAAGGGAGAAATGGTGTTCATGGTGTGCAACATTTTTTGAGTCAAGTTCTCGCGCAAGAGCTGCTAGATTTGCATCATGAAGCTTGGAAAAAGGTGGCTGAGGCAATCTTCTGGAAGAAATTAATAAGAAGTGGGTGGCGATTTCACGGAGACATGGTTTTCCTGCGTTTGCTCTATGACGTCAAAGTTAGTTCACACGGCTCAAAACTGGGTGTGGTGTTTTTTTTATTTTTTATGTGGGCAATCATTGCGCGAAAATTTCATAGGTCGTATATTCATTGAACGTCCGACGATAAAGAAGGTTGGCCGAATAGCCGAGTTTAGATATTTTGGCTCAGTGACCATGCACAAAAGAATTGCAGACGAGGCTCCGGGGAAATAAAGAATAAAACGATATTATACGCTCTTTGATTGGTCATTTTGAAGCGTGCACTTCAAAATAACTCTTTACAATATTAAAAAAAAATAAAATTATCAGTGGATAATCTTGATTTATTCTTTATTTCCCCGGAGCCTCGTCTGCAATTCTTTTGTGCATGGTCACTGAACCAAAATATCTCAACTCGGCTATTAGACCTCCCTCCCCCTCCCAGTCAGAGATTGCGAAAAAGGCCCACTCTGAATAGGGTTAAACTTGTTCTTGAGAATTATTGAGTCTCCAGTTTCGGAATCTCTTTTACGCAAACTTCAACTGAACGTAAAACTGTATTGTTTTCTTTGCACACAGAGTTTTTGCATTACAATAAGCCTAATACCACAAAGGAAGATTTGGCGAGCTTTTCAGGTTAAGCCTGCGCGAATAATATCTTTTAAATTGAACTGGTGAATTGTTCGCTCAAAGTTTAACATAAAAGTGTTGCCAAAGCGGACTAAAAAGACGTTGAATCAACTAGGAGTGACTCTCAGCTACTGTACAACTATAAATAAGTAATCAATTCAAGCTTAAAGTACCAGTTTAACTGTCTTATGCATGTTAACTTTGGTTCCACCAATCACTTTGAAATGACAAACCTTCAAAAGTACGAATCACAAGCTCCAACGATAGGCTATGATACGGGTTTTACTATCCTCCTATTTTCTTAGTCGACCAATCACTTTGTAGTATTATATAGACAATTATGTCATTGTCCATATATATTTCTACCAAAACACTTAAACATGTCTTCGGTGAGCTGAACTGTGAAGACAAATTATGAATTTGCATGTGTTGGTTTAAAAAAAATCTCGTTTTCATTAGCACTGTACGTCCAAGTGATTCAGGATATAGCTGAGTTGCGATACATTTCTAAGGTTTGTGTAATTGTTGTTTATATGCTAGCCCACGTATGATTGATTTTACGACTCCTCTCTTTATTTTTTTTAGTTTCTTTTATTTTTAAACGCTCAATTACATCGATCTTTTTCCTATTGTTTTAGAATGATAGCCTCATAGACTGATCTTTTAAATTTTATCGCATTATTTTGGATTRATTCTGATTTGCTGCGCTGATTTTCATTAAAGGCAACACGAATGCATATCCCTTTTCTTTTAATCACAAATTTCATATTTGGTCTCATTTTATTCTTGTTGTTTTATCTCGACGTGTCGGCTTCTCGCTACGGAGACGTAAGATAATCACTGAGGACGCAACAAAACACAACAAACCATCGTCCTCTGACCAACCTGACCAGWTCACTATACAATATGTTTGTCCTCGGGTCCGTTTGTCCTTTTGATGTTGATAAATAGGGGATAGTTTACATGTTCGCACTGATACGGATTTTATCTTGAAGTGTTGAGAAGATAAAATTCGTATCTCCAAGCAACCATTTAGTAATATTCTGTTTATCATATAATTACCTATGGAAGCAAATTATGTCGTAAAATACCTTTTTTTACTTCCAATATATAGAGAAACCTTAAATATCTATTTTCACTAGTAAAAAAAAAACTTTTTGCGAAATGATAAAAATCGAAAGTTTAGATAACTCAATCCAAATGCAATAATGGTTTTGACTATTCCAAATGCAATAATGGTTTTGACTATTCCAAATGTAATAATGGTTTTGACTATCCCGCTAAAAGGGGTGTTCCAATTTTTCACAGCGAATATGCTTCTTTCATCAGTAAAGTTATTTGAGGYAGAGATAAAACAAGCTTTTATCGTCCAGTTTAAGATGCATTATGTAMTKCCACAGTATTCCTTCAGGCCTGTGGTTTAATCAATCACTTCAAATGACAAGCCTTAAAAAGCACCAAKCAAAAATGTCCTACTTAAAGACTGTGGATACTAGAATGCGAAAAGGTTTTAGAGTCACCAATCAAAACGATTAATATAATGGCTGAGCAAATCATCAAAACAGCAAACAGCAAACCGTTTCCTTTTTTATCTTCTACTTCAAACTACCAAAGGTTCTCGTGCATTTTATCTGCCTTGTATTACACAACAGATCGTTGCAATGAATAGGATACTGGTCATGTTAATATTCTCTACTTGTAAATCATTTCCATTTATAGTTGTAATGTACTTTTACAGTATAGTGTTCTTTTCCAGGATGAAAAGATCTCTAGTAATTGTTTTCATGATAATGTTGGCTGTGGTGTGGTAAGTATGTCATTTTGAAGCACGCACTTCCACTTCGCTTTCTATTCACATACACCTGCGGGTTATATTGACCGAGAAACAACAATGAAAAAGGGACTGGGCCCGAAATTCATAATCTGATTAAATAGTTCCAGGAAGAATAACCCCATCACGTAAGAGAGCACCATACAAAAGGCTCACTGACTGGTTTTCATGATTTGTGAACTTAAAAAGAGATTACAAAGAAATGTATGGTGTCCTGCCAAAGCGTCCAGCCAAACATTTTTTGTAATTATAGAAATCTTCTAATTCCATTTCTAATGACCTAAACTTGCTCAAATTTTAAACTTTAGCTAACTTATATGTGCTTTATCTATCGACAGCAGATTTCTGTAGATTATATGACTTCAAAAAAGAATCKGTCCCAGTACCCTGCTGTTTTGTTATCTGCCAATTTCATGAAATAGCTGTCAGATCAAATCGTTTTTTCGTCGTTTTTAACTGTCTAGTGTCGCGCCACGTAAACATGAGAAAGAAAAGGGGAAGCTTCATGACTTGACACCATGTGTAAGTGACCGCGACTGTGACCCCCCCGTATCATTATGCGCAGAGATCATCAGTACCGGGTGAGTGAATTTCATTTCTATACAGATATTTRCGCTTACTACAATCGTTGCCAAAAAACATGGACCATCGAATTATTTGTCTCCATCCAAACATTTTTCTCCTTTATCATTTTTTTACAGTTCTCCCCCTTAGCCCCCTTTCATCACTGTTGGGTCTTGTTTTGGATGCTTGTGTACTATGGTAACATGATCATTGACAATATTGCATTTAGGGGGTCAGGGGGGATGAAATTGTCAGTGGCTGTTGCTTAAAATTTAGGAAATTCGCTGGAATGGTCCAAGGATTTTGTCAACGATTGTAGCCCTTCGTTTGGCCNACTTTATTTATTATTTTATTAAACCATGCATTGGAATCATCTTTGTGGTACTTTTTTGGCTAGGTTAACGCCCTTTGCAAGAGCCGCCTCCATACCACGAAGATCTAGAAAACACGTTAACAATTATAACAGCTGAAAATAACCAATTACAACCAGTGAGGGAAAGAGGGGGTGTGCACACCACATCCCCCTAGCCTCTTCCCCACCCTTGCTTTTGGCATGGATATTGACATTTTGTAGAATACAAAAGAATAAAAAGATTAAAGGGACATGGTCCACCAGCATCCCTTTCGGGCTTTTGTTGATGTTTTAAAATAGAAATACATCGTAATATAAGCAAAAACGTACTCTTTATTACTCCTTTATACTATATGAATGGAGATGCTTTAAGATTCGACCTTTAATCCGGTGGATGGAAACGGATTGCGAATGGATATTCGAAGTCAACTCATTTTCCATATATGAAAAATCTAAAACACGACCGCATTGAATGCTAGTGGACCGTGTCCCTTTAAATAACAGAACAATTTTTCATGTGCTCGAGCGCTCAAGGGTGTGGATATCTAGAAATTCCACYAACCAACCAACCCGTCATAAAGTCGTTCTTATATACAATAGCCTTGGAAATTTGCATMTTTTTCCAAACCGAGACTAACCCTGTATTCCCAGAAGGTTTTCGGACTATGGTTATTAAAGTCTTTTTGTTTTTCGCGATTTCTTTTGCTTTCGTTAAGGTCTTTTTTTTCTGTCAAATAAAACAGCGCTTATTTTTTATCAATTCAAAAATTTAGTATTTATCTATTTCTCATCAATCCATCCATCCATCAACTAATTATTAATTAATAAACTATTAATCCATAAAACTATTCATTGGGCTGTTTCTTGTGTTAACATTGGTGCGTACAGTTTTGCTGTTAAACGACGCATGGATACTTACTCGCAATACATGCCCGGCCTGCAGTCAAGATTTGTTCTGCAAGCCATCTTGCGTCGTTTATACATTTGTCTTCCTCCCATGTCAGATTCACTAGGCACAGGCATGACACTGTTTAGAAATGTATCTTTTTTACAGGAATTGCAAAAAGTAGATCTTACTTTTTTATGAAAATGAGGTATTTGGAAAATTAACTGACTTTCAATTTAACAGCAAAGGAATGGACAATAAATAATCGTGTTGTACAGACTGCTTTTGGTTGAAGAGTGAAATAATARTWATAAYATTTGAATTATTTTATGCTAGTTCTTTTGTTTTCTACTGTTCACATCTAGCACTATTTTGCACAATTCAGGAACTAGTGTTCCATGCTTTTGATTAAGACACTCTAATCATAAAAAAGTATGTCTAACTTTTCGATGAAAACGTCTGAAATAAGAATGTGTTACTCACAAGGCCACACTGACAGCTAACATTACCAACAGAGCAATTACTAAAAACTTCTTCATCCTGAA